GGGCCATCTATGCCCCCCCCCCCCCCCCCCCCCTGAGACCGTCGGTGTAGTCTTCGTGCAGCCGAAGGTGGTAGTAGTCGTAATGACCGCAACGCTCGCGAATGACCTACACTTGACACGGAAAAAAAAGCGCCCAACTACTACCCTAGGTGACACAAAATACCACGCCCGCTGGACTTATTTGCTAGGCTCGACTATAACTCCACGACGAAGTGGATACATGAATGAAACGATGCCTTTTCGGAAAGCTCTCGACGACATGGCTTTAACGACGCCGTTTTCGGCGCTGCCACTCTTTCTGGTGTGGAGGTATAGAGCTTCGAAACTCGGTCCAAGGGGTGTGCGTTATCCCATGTCACTTACGGTACACCATGAACGTTAACCATGGTGAAAGATGTCCTCCGCCGGGAAGGCTCGCCTCTTGTATTGACCCCCGACACGAATCACACCCCGAGGAATCAACATCGCATTCCAGAACTGAAACACAAAAACGGATTGAATAACTTTCTCGTTGCTCCTATGGACTTTCCAGGAAGGGAGAAAAGAAACAGATCGGATAAACATGCTCTGTGCTATTGTAATAATGTGCTGGTTCTCGGTTAAGTCTTGCCGTCCCCCCTCCCCAATGACCCAACAGAAAGCGCCTAACACCCGTACCACACGCAACACCTCTTCCACCGGCAATCGCCCGCACCCTCCTTCCCACCTGCAGCGGCCTAGCGATCCCCTGCAGAACCTTGCACAGCACCTCCTCCGCCGACATGAGGCCCTCGTCCTTTCCGGCAGCCGCCCCCTCCGCCCCGTCCCCGGGGGCGAGCGCGCCTCTGTCTTCCCCACCGCTATCGCTATCGTTGCCGCCGCCGCCGAACAGGGCGGCCACCAACTCTTTTTCCATCGCAACCGCCTGGTGAACCCACGCGAGGATGTCGCCCACGTACCTGAACCATTAGCAAGCGAGGGGGTGGGGATGGGGCGTGTAATAATGTAAACGCATGCCGTAGTCGTTAGACCTCTGCCTTCGAAACCGGGACGGAGTGGAATGAAGGGGGCGGACTCAAACGCATGCCGTAGTCGTTAGACCGTTGCCTTCGAAACCGGGACGGAGCGGAATGAAGGGGGCGTACTCACAATGTGCATACCTTGGTTGTTAGACCATTGACCGAGCGCCGTCGTGAGGACGATTATGAAGAGGAGGGGGTTGGGCACTCATAACCGTGCATGCCGTGGTCGTTAGACCATTGACCTCGCATCCCTACAATGCCGCGACGGAGCACGCCGGGTTCTCACCGGGCCAGGCTCTCACATCACCAAGCGCGAAGCACCGTGAGGTATTCGGCGAGTCGCATGAAGGGTGCGCTGCATCCTGCTAAGGGTGTTCGGCATCTTGTGCTTACTTCCTTGGATATATATGACAGCTGGGTATGACTTAATTTACTTTCTGGTGCTTTCACTTCCAAAGTCAGTTCCAAGCACTGTGTAACTGCCTCGACGGTGCATGATCAGTTCAACACAACGTGGTGCGATCATCCCCCTTGCGCGGAGTGAAGGTCCTCTACCCCACACAACATGATCTACTCGACAACCATGATGGGTACCGCAGAAAAAAACAAAGGCAAAAAAAGAGGTTCTCGAGCTCACGAACCGGTCGGCGTGTTTTACAACGTCGTTGCCACTCGATGAAAACCCGCGATGGGGCGAAATAAGCACGGGTGTTCACGGTGTGTTTTTTGTCGACGGTGCGGTGCGGTGCGGTGCGGATAGACCGCGCAGCACCGCACCGCACCGCGCCGCACCGCACCGTGGGGACTCAGAAGAACCCGTAGATGCGTTTGTTTATCACGGTGTGGTTTTATCCTACTCTGTCCCCAACACCGCGGTAAAACCGCGGTATAATGCGGTAAAAACGGCGGTTATACAGCAGCTGAGTCACTTTTTTTTCCATGCAGACGCACGCCAGGAAAGCCGAAAGCTGCATCTGTCTAACTAAGCTGCTCGTGAGGGAGAGCAAGCAATCATCGAGGTCGACACTGACTGAGTGTACATAGAAGGGACGCATTTTAGGTTGTTTGTGAACACGAGCCGCCTGATGCTGCCGGTTTCTCCTGGAACAATTGCAACAACAGTGGAGGCAGGGAGGAATGTACCTGCTGCTGATGCATGTTGAAGGGAGTAGGGACTTAAGCTGACAAGAAGAGAATAAAATGAATGACACAGCAGTGTCGTTCCTTGTGCCAGGGTATTCATTAGGGGTATTCATTCGGGTTGTCTGACCGCAAGGTCGCGGAACTTGCTCTTGGCGGCCTCCATGCACCGCACAATGTGAAATGAGTGTTGCTGCCAATTGACTTAACCTGACGTACTCCACGAAATCGTAGAAACATCATTTTTTTGTCACAGATAACCGCAGTGTTTCGGCGGTTTTCTTCCACGGTGGACGCAGCCCAGTGCCGCCGTTCGCGCGGTTTTGATCACAGGGTTAAAACATCGCACCGCAAAAAAAAAAAAAATCGCACCGCACAGCACCATCACAACTCGAGTGGAAAATAACCGCACCGCGCTGCACCGTAGAAAATCGAAATGACAAAAACCGCGCCTCGCCGCACCGTGACCATGTCAAGAAAAAAAACTTACCGCGGTGTGGTTCCACACGGCGATCATCCCGGTAAAAAAGCTAACGTCAGCGACGGGATTTGAACCCGCGCGTGAGATCACAACAGGTTTCAAATCTGTCTCCTTAACCACTCGGACACACTGACACTCACGCAGTGTCGACGGACCGCTATAAAAGGGAGCATACGTTTCGCATGCCTTCGTTGTTACCACCATTGACCGCGCGTCATCCTCGAGAGGACGGTGTGAGGCGGGCGGGAAAACATGTGGATTCTACGCACCCACCCGGGCGCCATGCTCCTCCCCGGTTTTTGTGCTCCGTCTCGGCTTTGTAGGGATGCGAGGTCGATGGTCTAACAACTACGGCATGCACCACTACGAGTACACCCCCCCCGGTGTTTGCCATCGGGGTTGGGTTTTCGTCGCTTGGCAACGACGTTGTAAAACAAGCCCCCCCCCCCCGGTGTTTGCCATCGGGGTTGGGTTTTCGTCGCTTGGCAACGACTTTGTAAAACAAGCCCCCCCCTCGGTGCTTGCCCCCCCTACACATTTCTAGATTTAAGTGGGTTGGCGCTGTTTGTAAAGCGCTGTAAAACACGCCACCCCAAATATAGCCCCCATAGTATGCGCTACCAAAGACGCGTGACGCATGGATGCGTGGAGTGAGGATTGCTTACGGAAACCTCACAGGTTGAGTGATGTAGGAGATTGCCGGACACATAGATGTGTTGAGTCATTAAAGCTGTATACTGAAACCTCAAGGGTTGAGTGAGGTTTAAGATTGCCACACACATGGACGGGTTGAGTGGGGATAGCTGCATACTGAAACCCCACGGGTTGAGTGATGTTGGAGTGCCGGACACATAGACGCGTTGAATGAGGATAGACACATATTGAACCTCACAGGTTATTTGTATTGGAGATTGCGAGACACCTAGACGTGTTGAGTGAGGATAGCTGCATACTGAAACCTCACAGATGCATTGGTTTTTGAGTTTGCCAGACACATAGACGCGTTGAGTGGGGATAGCTACATACTGAAACCTCACGAGTTGAGTGATGTTGGATAGTGCCGGACACATAGACGCTTTGAGTGAGGAAAGACACATACTGAAACCTCACAGGTGATTTGTATTGGAGATTGCCGGACACATAGACGTGTTGAGTGGGATTAGCTACATACTGAAACCTCACAGATGGATTGGTTTTTGAGTTTGCCAGACACATAGACGCGTTGAGTGGAATTAGCTACATACTGAAACCTCACAGATGGATTGGTTTTTGAGTTTGCCAGACACATAGACGCGTTGAGTGGAATTAGCTACATACTGAAACCTCACAGATGGATTGGTTTTTGAGTTTGCCAGACACATAGACGCGTTGAGTGGAATTAGCTACATACTGAAACCTCACAGATGGATTGGTTTTTGAGTTTGCCAGACACATAGACGCGTTGAGTGGAATTAGCTACATACTGAAACCTCACAGATGGATTGTTTTTTGAGTTTAACAGACACATTGACGCGCTGGGTGGAGATAGCTACATACTGAAACCTCACGAGTTGAGTGATGTTGGATAGTGCCAGACACATGGACGCTTTCAGTGAGGACAGCTGCATACTGAGGCCTAGCGGATGGAGTGACGTTTGCGACTGCCGGACATGTAGACGCATTGTGTGAAGAAAGCTGCATACTGAAACCTCACAGGTTGATTTGTATTAGAGATCGCCGGACAC